AGACGTGACAAAATGTTTTCAAATGCTGATAGGTTACTCACTATAACGATAAAAAGTAGTTTTTTTTAATTGAGGGCACAGTACAATAAATCATTTGTATGAATTATTAAATTTCAGCTACCATGTCTGCAGTGCTTTATGCTTCCAACACTGGAGGGGCTTTCAAGTGATATTATTAGCTACACTATCAGCACAGGTACACTGATTTCATCTACTCACGTTCTGGAGTGATCGTGTTGCTCTCCTGGGCAAGCGGAGGTCCGCAACCTGCTCGAGTGCAGGCACTGAGGCGGAAGCGGTAGAGGCTGCCCTCCTGCAGGCCGTGGAGCTGCCACTGAGTGGTGTCAGCCCCAGTGACGTTCATCTCCTGGGAGTCAACCACCTCAAGTGTGGTCTCATTAACTATAGATGAAGGAGAAAGATGTCAGGTCAGTTCTCGTGGCGTGAAGTGAGCCTACAATGGACGGATGCGGCTGAGAGTCGCCACTGTTTGTCCCCTGTTATATGTTAATGGAACACAACTACAATAAGGGTCAATGGTCGAGGGAGGGGCGCTAAGGGATGAGGAGTTGTCATGCTCGTTCATGCAGAAGGTGAATGTAGCAGATACATGTCCTGACAGGTGAGCTGAGGAGGAATACATTATGAAGAAAAGCGAGAGAAGATGAAAGCAACAGATAGAGAGCTCAAGAGGGAGTGGGAGGGGAAGAGTAAACAAGTGGCAATGGATGGGAAGAGGAGGAAGAGGAGAGAGGAAAAGAGGGGGAGGAAATAAAACTTAAAAGATAATCCCAGCATTTTCAAACCTTGGCCTTGCTTTCCCATCTTTTGGGGTCTAAATGATTAATAGGAGCAAAACTGTTTGGAATCAGTCCAGTAATCGAGTGAAAACACGGGCAACAGCGAGAAGACTGCAATGTAATAAAATGGGGCATTTGTTCACGTCACCCTATGTCCACTAAAGTGCTTGTTTTTACCACTGATTGTCAGATTGTTATTGTATCTGTCTGGCAACATTATGAATAGGATTCCGGCAGAGGTAGACAGAGTAGATAAGCTCAATATTGCAAATATTTATGATCCTATTTATCATTGAGAGCCAGAAAGATGGGAAAATAGGGCCCAGGTTTCTAAGAATGCCAGAATGAGCTTATAATGAAGGAAAAGCTTAAAAAACAACACTGTCAAAAGAAATAATGGGGGTGGTACAGGTGGAAAAGCAGAGGGAATGAAAAATATGAGGAGGAAGCAGGAAAAGAAAATTAGAGGAGTGGCAATCACAAGCAGCATAACGTATCACTAAACATGTATTATAGATCAAAGTACAGTATGTGTGCAGACTGTCGAAAGCAACACACAGGTGAGAATTGAATATGTGCCGAGCCCTGTTGCACCAACCGCTTCGAAAAATCTGATTCTTTTTCTTTTTGCGGCACAGAACAGTGTGGATATTTTATGTGTTTGTGAACACAGTCAGATTATTCATTGACTACTTGCACAGCAGTTTCATGACTCAAGCGGATGTGCAGACTGTGCATATAGCACAGCATATATTTTATTCATAGAGTTTATAGAAGACAAAATCTGAAATGGGCTTACATGTTACATGGTGAAAAATTTCATCTGAAACAAAAAAACACACACTGCATTGTTTAGGAGTATCTGTGTAAGGTCTGACAAAGGAGCAGAGTGTATTGAAGAGCCGGCCAGACTCTGTGGATGTTAGAAGAGACGGCAAAGTCTCTGCTTTCACATTTCACACAAAGGACTTCAGAAATGTCAGCTAATGAGAGTGTGGCCTTTAAAAACAGGGAGAGTGTAATGAAAGACATCTGTTCACAATAAGTGTACTGAATGTGTGCAAGAGGAACCGCTCCTGTATGATGATGAATGCCATAAGAAATTTGTAGAAGAGGAGCAGTCTGAGAGGATATGAGATAAGAAACACTCAGGAAACTGTCAAACCACAATCTGAAGTAACCTGCTCAACTCATAACCAGGCTGTTTGCCCACCATTGTGTAGTGCTCAGTGTTGAACACTGCCACCTAGTGTCTAGTATGATAACGCAGGTGGTGGAAATGTGGAAAGGGTAGACGTGGGTGTGAGCTGCATATTTTTCAGTTTTTTCAATTGGGAATAAAAACTCTTATTCTTAAAGTTTTAGTGCAGTACCGCAGATCACCCACACACACACACACACACCTCTTCTGATATTACTCACCACCGTCCACCGATGCTGCTCCAAAACTGCACAGACATTTATTAATGAAAACAACATTATGTACGTACTGAGGTAGTACTGCAGGAGATAACCAGTGAGGATGCCATTTGCCTCCAGGGGGGGTCCCCATACCAGCAAAATTGAGTCTTTCTGCGCATTGGAGGCGGTCAGGACAGGCACTTGTTCAGGAACTATGAAAATGACAGTAATGTTAGTTAATCTGCTGCAAGACATGTTCCTCCTAGCCCTTTTTATTTATTAAGATGATTTTAAATGTTACACTTTATGCTTAAAGATATTAAGCATAAAATATTGTTATTAAAGGTATATATGTTTGAATCACAACTGATCTTGTGTCAAGTGTTTTTCTATGCTTGATATATTTAAACACTTTGTTTTTTCTTAACTGTTTTCTTATTTGTTAAACAGATGAAAAACACACTAATGTCATTATCCGACAGTCTGACTTTTTCAGCAGCTCTGTCATTTTGCAACACTAAGACAAGAAAACTTCATCAGGCTACCTGGGGTTAATTCTTCTCTCTACTGGTGTTAAGTATAAATATTGTACCAGAGCTACTTTATTTATAGATCCTATGCAGACATGAGTGAAACATACAATAACGTGCTGAACATTTTCCACATGTAAATAATGCAGCAGGAAACTGTCAGACGTGTTCACGACAACAGAAAAATGGAATATTCAGGAAGGGAGTGGTGTCCTGTTAGAGCTTGCATGACGCAGGACATGAATTATAAACTCTGCTGCGGAAACTATGGGTTTTTGTTTATATCACATCATCTGCCCTTATCACCAAAAGCCCTTGAATCTAACGTTTTTCCCCTGCTGTATTCTCACATGGGTTCACTCAGAGATTTTCTGAATGTTTCACTTGGGGGCTGAAAGGAAAAAGTTCTGGAAAATGTCTAAAACAACTGCGTTCTCATATAAAGCCCCTCCTGAAAATTTCAGGAAAATATCCAGAGTATGAGTGTTTGTCTGAGAGCAGCTCGAGTGTGTGAGAAACACCCATATGTTGAGCTCACCTCCCTCTGGAGTGTTGAAGGTGACCGGGTCACTGTTGGGCCCATTGCCCTTCTTGTTGAAAACGCTCACAGTGAGTCTGTATTCAGAGAAAGGTTTGAGACCCGGTACGATGGCATGATTCCTCTTCCCTGGGAAGGCAAGTGACTGACGGTTGTCAAAAATCTTGTTGGGATTCAGCAGACTGTGCTTCCTGGTCCAGTGAACCTGTTAGATGGATGCAATGGAAGATGTTGAAGAACAACTTTTTGAACTTATGTGTTTGGACTTTTTTATGTGATGAACTCAGTATCTACTCGTGTTTGGGCTTTTGGATTCTTGGACCTGCCTTTTTTTGCCCTTTGAGTTTGTCATTTCCTGTCTTATTTTGACACTTGTTCCTTGTGTTATCTCTCTTCTATCACTTCCTGTCTTTGTCCTGTTTCTGGACCTGTTCCTAATATGTTTCAGCTGTGTTCAATTATCCTGAATCTCATAAAGTCTCTGTGTTTCCTTTTGTCTTTGTCAGTTTGTCTGTTCATGTTTCTGTGCTACTAGTGTTTCAGTGTTGATCATTATCTTTTGTCGACTTTGCTCTTTTGCCTTTGGACTTGTCTCCCTGCCTTCAGGTGACTGGAAGCCTGTTTATTTAACGAAACATTTATTATTTGTCTATCAACTGCATTTGGGTCCTGCAAATATCAAACCCTGAAATCTCAACACAACAAACAGACGATGGACAGAGATGGAGAGGAGCAGCAGTTAATGGCTAGTTTCACTCATGCAGATAGCTGACATAAATAACTCATGATGATTGATGATGGCATGATTATCCTCTAGTGTGCAGCTGCCCTTAGGTGAATGATAGGTAAACATATTAGATTAGATTATACAATTTGTTTTTTGTCAATTCAACAACCTACTGCTACTTATTTCAAAACTGAGTTAACATCATTCTGAAAGCAACAACATGAAGTTTCAAGGAAGTCAGAAAGTGAGAACACATTGGGTTGCTCAAAATCTTACATTGTTAAATTTTGGGAAAAAAATATTTCTCTATGTGCTCCATATAATAATGAATTCTCATTATTATTTTGAATGTGTCCTTGCCAGATAAAAAAATGTCAAATATAACTTTATTTTTAGAAAATAGTTACAATGTGTCACTCAACATGTCGCTCACATTGTCCTGTTGAACCTGTGCAGCCTCCACACCATTAAATAGCCAGATTATGATGGAAAGCTGCACTTTAAAATTATAAGGAATGTGGCTCAGGTGGAGTCTGACAGCCTCTGGATATAGTAACACCAGATTAATAAAATGTACTGTTCTAAAATCACAAAATCATGTTTTTTGTGTCTCTGTCTCAGTTCTGACTTGCCACATTAAAATTTTAATTTGCTGCCACAGTATTGGTTGATATGGGCACATGTAAGAAACTGTGGAAATGAGTAGTGTCTGTTTCCTGGGAATCTGTTTTCAGTTATGACATGCTGAAGACACATGAGTGACAAGGGGTAAGAGAAGAAATATGTATAATGTATTATTTCATTAACTGTAATTCCATCTTTGTATGTACCTGATGAAAAATTACAATTTGCTGATTAATTGCTGTTCAGTCTTTAGTTAAACGTAGTCTGTAAAAATGTAATCTTGCTTCAGCACAATGGTAACTTACATTGTAGCCCCCTAGATGACCTCTGACTGTGGCAGGTGGAACAGGGGTCCAGCTAACTCTCAGAACAGTAGTGTTGATCACCTCCACTGCTATGTCCTGCGGCGCTGCAGTCGGAACTGAGGAACACACGAAGGAAGGTCAGCAACACAGACAACCTGCAAACAGCAGGTCACCTTCTCAGAGGCTCTTTCCATGAAACGTGTGTAAAAAAGGAATATTGACAGAGATACAGCGAGCGGAACAAACAAAAATAATCGTCTCTGAGCTGATGTTTTAAAAGACGGAGGAGGTCATTCTTTTGCTTCAGGTTGTGTATCTGTTGCTGGCTGCGTTGGTAATTAAATGCTAAGAGATCAGCGTTAAAGTGCAGAAATACATACTCAGCTGGACACAAGATAAAACCCCTCAGTTTTTCAAAGCTGTTCAAAGAAATTCTAGACACGGCATGAAATAAATAAATACTCTAAAAAATGTCTTCTCTACATGGCACTGTACTGGTATTAGGGGAAGGATGGAAGCAAAGCAGACACGAGAGAGGGAAGCAGCCACTGTGCCAAAGTGTGTCGTGATCTGTCAAATCTCCGACAGCTTCTGAGACAGAGGGGGAAATTTGACATCCCTCCGCTCTACAAAGTTATCTGCCACCTGCTGGATTTGAAAAGGGGATTTTCTTTTCTCTTTATCTCTTTCAGAAGGGAGGAAAAGTCACTTTTGCAGACTAACTCACACAGGGTTAAAACTACGGGCAAAAGAAAAATGAAAGAACCTAACCTGACACATTTTCCCGCAGACAATGCCAAAAGACAACTGAAGACAGGAGGGGGGGTGATGACACGAGATATTCACAAGTAAGTCACAAGTAAAGCAACAGTTCAGCCTCAGGACATGTTTTAATGAAGCAGAAACTGATGTGCTTATAGACATGTTATTTAATATTATATATAAATATTATATCAAAATATACAGTCGAGGAAGTATTAATTCTACTATATTATATAATATTCACCATCTTCTCCAGAGTAACCCGATGCAACTTTGGGTTCAGGTCCCCAACCGTGGCTGTTCCTGCTCTGGATTTTGATCTCGTACGGGATGAACGTGCTCGTGTTCCTCACAACAAACGAGTGTCTTTTCACCAGGTGATCCTTCCAGTTGTCCTCCACCCCCAGTTTCCGGTAGCTCACCTTGTATTCCAGGCCTGGGCCATTGTGCTCGATCGGCAGCAGCGGCTACAAAAAGACAATATGCTGATGACTTAGCGATTACTAAAAACTACTAAGATACTATCACGTTTTATTATGTATGTATGATAAACTTTCTTATAGAATCTTTCTCTCACCTCCCAGGTGATGTCCATTTGATGAGGAAGGTGTCCTTGAATTTTAATGTTCTCCGGGTTCCTATCAGGAGCTTTGGAGTCATTTGTTAAATTGTATGATTATATAACAATAAATTAAAAATAATAAAGTATCTTGTGTTAATCTATACAACAATATATCCATGTTGGTCTCTAAAGTGCACATGTCTATCATTACTTTTCAGCTACAAGAGATCTTGATTTCATTGAACATATATGAGCTCAGTAAATCCAGTTTATTCTCATCATACAGCCACAACAAGGGAACCTGCAAAGAGTAAATGTGAAGCACAACTAATTTTTATCCTTTGGACAATTTATGTTTTTTATTAGTTTTAGAGTTTTATCTCCAGAACCTTTTGGTTCTTTGTGTTTTCTTGGTGTCTTGGCATGTTTTGTTTAATTTCCGAACTTGGCTATATTGTAAATCAGGTCTCTGCTTCAAAGTATTCCTGAGTTAAAATACAGGTTGAATGAATGAAAGTCAAGGTTAAGCAGCCACATTTAAAGGAGTTCATGCTTATGGACTTCAAGCTCTACTGCTACACAGTCCTTTAGATTAAGGCTGTAGCCTCTTCACATGGCACCTCTGCACATTTCAAAAGAAACATAAAAAGTTGCACACTTTCACAACTGACAGATAACCACATCAGAAAATGTTAATTAAAAGGAGCTGGTCCTACCAGCAGGGGGTGTTTTGTATCTCTCAGTGGGCTCACTGGGGGGTCCAGGTCCAACCGTGTTCACAGCATACACTCTGAACTGGTAGTTAAGGTGTCCATATAGTGCCAGCTCCGCTGTTGCCTGGTTACCGGGGACTTTCTGTAGCTCCCTCCACCTGCCGGGCTCCCATTGGCTCTCCTCGTACTCCACTATAAATTCTGTGCTCACAGAGGAGATGGCATGGCACATAACAATTATACATTCAGTCATCACCATATAAACTGATGATCACATCCGCTGGGAGAGCATGAATTCAACTCATTTTATTTAGTCATTCTTTAATCTACAGTACAGGTAGACTAATAAAGGAGATGTTTAACAGTGTAATTAATGTGATGAGTAGTAAGACGATCAATAACACCATCGTGACTGTGAGTGAAGTATGAAGCTGGAGTCAGGAGGTGATTAGCTCAGCTTCCTTAATATAAAGATATGAAGATATATCATGTTTCTGCCTTAAAGCCAAATTGGCAAAACATTTCTGTTATTTTACAGATAAAACGAATGGCATATTTACGGTGGCCCTGAAGAAATCACAACGGCAAACCACAAAACACGATGGCTAATCAAAACACCACATTAAATAAGAAAACACAATTATAAATCACAAGACAGCAGCAAATCACAATGGTGAATGAGAATTCACAATGACACACAATACAAAAACAAATCACAAAGCACAATGTAGGAAGGAAGGTACCTGCAATCTACACAACTCATCACCTATTGGATGGATTGTTGTGTTCAGTGATTTGCCTTGGAAATTTGCACTTCATGGACACGTAGATATTACATGTTTAATAGCGAACTTGCTGGTTGGCTGATTTGAGAGAGTGCTTAATGCACAGACATCATAGAGGTGTTGATCCTCTCATTTCTTGCACTATTTTCTCATCCAGAAATCTTCAGTATATGTGGATACACTTAAAAGTCCTATGTTTTTACTGTATTGAACAATAAAAACCCAACTCTTTGCTAGAATCTCATAACAGCTTCATTCCTGCTGCTGAAATGACGGATGTGTAAATTAGTTAAGCAGCACTACACCTATGAGTGTGTTGAAAATGATGAAGTGTTCAAATCGCAATTAAATACTTGGTATAGAGTGCCTCAAGTGGCTGTTTATCATGTAGGGAATAATAAATGAGTAAACAAAGGGAGGATTTCAGACATGGACATTTGACAATTTCCATGACTAATTAATTAAATTAAATGAATATTTCAACACACATCAACCTGGTGCTCAGCCAGATCCACAGTTAGTGTTAATGGGAAACTATTAAGCTAATTTCCAGCTTCATATTTATATTCTGGGACTCCATTAGGCTTTGCATGATTCACACTTGAAACAAAAGGTTATGCAGTTCCTCAGTTGAGCTTTTGACTGAAACAGACAATATTAGCTCAGATCCCTCAAAGCTCCCTTTCTTCTGACTGGTCGAACATCCAGAAACGTGCTGAGGGGCAGTGTAACGATTACAGATGTGGATGTTTCAAAAGCTATACTATAAATCTAAGTAACTAGTAACTAAATCTAAGTAACGGGATATAAATGACTGGAAAGGTCATCTTGTTGAATCCATTCAGACATACTGGAGCCCACATTTGGCCCAGAATACGAGTGTGCTCAAACAGGACGTCTCACTTCTGTGAATATTACGCCCACTACCTAAAACAAGAATTATCGCCCTGTGGTTGTATGTCCCTCCAGGTGTTCCTGACATATTGCATACACAATAATGGGGAGGTCAATATGAGCTTTTACCACTGACATCTAAAAACTTCATCTTTGAGTCCAAGTGAAATGTGGTCAAAATTTGATTTAATCGGCCAAATTGTTTTGTGAGGCCTCAGGATCTTTGACCTTCTAAATCTTATCAGTTAACCCTTGAGTCTAAGTGTTAATGTGTGCCAATTTTGAAAGAATTAACTTCATGAATTCTGAAAATAAAGCATTGACAAGACAAAAATAGGATTTTGGGAAGTCACCATGACCTTTGACCACCAAAATCTAATCAGCTCATCCTTTCATCCAACTGAACATTTGTACTAAATTTCAACAATTTCTCTCAAGGTTTACCACATTGTTTAAAATTGTGAAAAATGTTGAAAATGAACATCTGACATTGTAACATCGTATAAAAAAGGAAAAGAATAATAAAATAATAATATAATAACAGGCCCCTTTAAATAAAAGAGCTGGCCTCAAAATGCTTTCATTTAGTCCAAGTTGTTTGATTAAACGAATAAACTAGAATTAATATCACATTTCTGTCTCACCAAGGATCTTCAGGTGACTCTGTACAAATTTCTTTGATATCACATATCAAAGCTAAGGGACAGTTAAAGAACAAATCACTTGATTAAATTCTAATGAAAAGTAAGTTCCAAAAATAAACGAGTCCCCGTTTTGAAGCATAAAAAAGGAAGCAGCTTCCTCACCAGGATCCTCAGCACTTTACAAGTTGCAGCCATGTCTTTTTTAACAACACTCACTTTGCAGTCAGCAGTGATCACAGCAGCAGAATCCATTAACAACCCTTTCACAACAGAGGAGATGTGGTATTTAGTGATGTGCAGTAGCTAAATGAGGAGAATCAAAGAGAGACTCTAATCCAGTGTTTAACAACGGTCTGTAGATTTTAAGTGCTGCATAATGTTGAGATGAGATCTGGCTTCTATAATTAGCAGGAACCAGATAAGTCTTCCTGGGAAACAGTATGTCCCCCTAACCAGTTACACAGTGGTAATGTGTACAGAGTCCAATATGCATTTTTTACATTTATTGTTGTAACTACATAAAATCTGTTAAATACGTGTGTAAACATACGTCCACTTTTGGGAGACCCCTCCTTATAAGCATGTGTCTCCTGATTCATCTCTCCCCTTCACTCCCTCAGAGAGGTATGTGACATTTTGGTCATTAAAATTACCGTATGTTAGCCTCTCTGTTATTACGTGTGTTTCCCAGTTGTGTACGGGTTTGTTTTATGTCCCTCTGTGTTCTCCTGTTCATCTAAAGGTGTTTAATTCCAGAGCAGAATACTCGCACCACCAGGTTTCACATCGGTGTGATTCATTCTCTCTTCTGTTCGTCTCCTCAGAAACACGCTTCTGTCTCCACCATCAATCTCAAACTTGGAACAGGACTTTAATCCTCTGTGAAATGCTAGTATTTCTTAGGCCACAATAAGAGTTGTTGGCCTTGTTTCCTCTCCTGAGAAGTGCTTTGGAAACCTCTATTATTCCTCTTCAAGAAAGTACTTTTTTTGATTGGAGTCTTGAGTTGAAAATTGTGTTTCTGTGATGAAGTTGCTTTTCTCGGGTAGCGAGGCTTGATGTATTGATCTTCCGATGGTGCAGTCACTAGTGGTCCAATCAATTGTGGTTTGAGTAAAAATGATCCAGTTTCTGCAAAGCGTTTTAGAGTCTAGCCATGACTGATGCTGAGAAAGTCCCTCTTTGATTAGGCACAGTCGTTATTCAAATCAGGTAAACAATGGAAGGGATACAAATTGATTTGGTCAGTGTTTCTTCTTAATTTTTCATAATATAATCTGATAATTTCCAGGTTTATTGGTGATTTTAAATGTCTCCGGTTTTTGGAAGCTTATGTTGACATTTACTGTGGTCTGACAGTAAATCTAATTGACCCTCCTCTATCCTCTCAGCAGGGGTGTGTCTTGGGGATGGCTACTATTGGCACAGGCTGATACAATATAATCAATTTGAAATGACCACAAAATAAATCCCAAATTCTCTTTTGATTTGTTCTTCTGCAGTTACACTGTATTAAATGCCTGTTATTTTGTAATTTCATTAGAATCACATATTAATTACATCATTATATGGCAATAAACTGTGTGGTGTAACAACTGATGGTCACAGCAGTGAGTCGAGCATTGATTATGTCTGCCTAAAATGTTCGCACCGCTACAACACCAAAAAAATAGAAACTAAAAAATAAGCAGTTTATATTTTTTCTACTTCTACATTGACCTCTACCTGTTACAGAGCTGTTGTGATCAC